TTGTTACCCTATTTATTGCTCCTCTTTCATATCCCGTAAGACAGGTCATTCTTAGGAGAGCCTCCTACACCACTGACATTAGCAACATGCCCTAACATACAGACTTCTTGGTGACTTTACCAGATTCAACCTGCAAAGCTGTTAAACAAAAACCAGCCCAAGCTCTCCCCAGTTTCCCAAGCTATAATCCCCCAACAAACCACCACTCTCATGAGATCTACACAAGTGTCAGCAAGTTGTGTGAATTTCCACTGAATTTATGCTATCGGCACTGCATGTAGGACTTGCTGAGTAAATCGGCCCTTTCCTTTTCATTCATGCTGTGCCTGGGAGGGAAAGGCATTCTACTGACCACAGGAGACAGCAAGGATGTGCAAGGGTGTACTCTTGTTATAGCTGTAGAAGGAATGGGGGTTTAGGAGTGGTGGGGTTGGGATTATTTTGCTCTTTGCTTTTTTTTTTCCTTGTTGTCCACGTGTGATTATGAGTCACCATTCTGGGAAATCACTTCCTCTTAAAGATGTCTGTTTCCAAAGAGTGCTGGAGGATCCAACCTGACCTCAGCAGCACACCAAGACAGTGTTTTTGCTGGGTATCAGCAGCGCTCTCTAAGCAGTGTGCTTTGTAAAATCTACTGGTTTGAGCTGTTATTTTGAAGTTTGTGTTACTTTCTCCATTAATGTTTTCCCCCCAAAGTCACTTTAAACCATCTTAAACGTCTTGTTACTAATCAGTTTCTGGCAAATTCCTTTACCCTTCATACAACATCTGAAAATCTTATGTAAATATGGTGTTGCACATTGTCTTGTGTTAGTTGATTGTTTTCCTTCCGTTCAGTACATTCCTTTTGATTTGCCTTGGTTGGGTATTTTTTTAAGATAGAAGACATTTTTAGGCTTGTAAACATCAAAAGTTCTTTAAATACACGTATCATCAGCTGTGTAAGGTGCTGACTTTAGAAAGTGCATTTTGGTATTAGTTAATGTATTCAAATCTGAAAATGAATGCTGTGCTTATGCAGCTTCCACAGCTGTTATTTATAGACCGCTCATCCTCCCTGGTACTGGGAGCTGTAATTAACAGACCATCACTGGGAATTCTCCTAATCACAAAAGACTCTCAGCGTTAAGTGCAGAATAGTCCACGCTGAACTCTGAGTAGGCAGAAACGGGGATAATTGATGTCGGATGTCCTCTCTCATGTTACACCCATGACCCTTTTATAGCCCACTCCCTTCTGCATCCACAAACACAGTAGGAAAACTAGGGTTTGGTGTAAAAGAAAGGTTGTCCACTCTTAAACAGCAGGTTTTGCCTGCAGGAGAATCTCTGTTTGCTCTTGTTGCCTTTTAAAACTGGCCCTCCCAGCATTGTGCCAGGTTCTGGTATTTCTTGCCTTCCATTGGGAAGGAGCAAATAGGTTCCTGGTGGTTGGCTGCTACTCAACACCGCAACCTGCATGCCCTCCTGGTGAATTTAAGAGGCAATTCCTTCACACTTAAATAATATTTGAAATTTGTGGTGATGGGGATGGCTTAAATTTCCATGAACCTGTTTAGTTCTTCCATTTCTTTGAATTTGAAAAGAGGAAAAACATTGTATGCATTTCAACCGAGAGAGGAAGGCACCCCGGCTACATTTTTCTCTTAACCTATTGTTAGCTTCACTTTTAAAGTAGAATTTCACTGTAAGTACAGCACTTCAGAACACTGTTAAGTACATTTTCCGTTGAATAAGATTAAGTCACACCTGAGGTGGAGTGGGAGGGAGCCTACAACAGCAGTAAATCCCCTAACCTCCCTAGCTTGCAGGAGATTGTTCTTCAAATAAGCTGTTTGATAAAATATAGTCCATATTTAATTCAATTTCTTGGTCAAGAGCATTGAATGAATTCAAGGTTTCAGATCACCAGCAACTGAAATACATAGAAATTCTGTTGGCAATGCAGACTTCCAGAACAGAAACCAAACTCTGCATGCATGAGCTGAATGGAAAGGTAGGGACATATCCACTGGATAAGAAAATTCATCTTCCTCTGTGATTTAATACCCACATTTAGCCACAGAAACTTATTTGATTGAGAACTTTATTTGTGCACATTCCCATATGACCCTTAACCTTCCGAGTTCTCCTGTGAGCCACATAGCATTCATAACTGAAATCACTGTGGGCTGCCTTGCTCCACGAGTGGTACCCAAACAGCTACGGGATGGTATCGGCTGCCTGTCCATCACGCTATCCTCTAGAGTACGCTGCTGTGTACTGTGGTGAGGTACCAAGAGACCACCTGAAGCTACAGCTTCTATCATTATGAACAATTGCCCTGCTAATGCATGCCCTAAGAGATCCGTTAGCCCTGTTGTAGTAATGACTCTCAGAACTTTCAAAGTAGCACTGTGGAAAGTTACAGTTCTTGTCTTAACAGGTAGTAAAAACTCTCCAGAGAAGCCCTTTTGGTCTTGAGCTCTTGATTTTCAGCAGTAGCTCAGTACCACCTTCGCTGGGTGCAGATTTCAAACTAATATGACACAATTGCATTGATTTCTAGTTGGCAAATTCAGTGGGTAGGGCCATGAAGGAGAAGAAATAAAATTTCTTTCACTGTTTGTTTTCCCACTGATATTTTATTCACTCTGAATTTTATGTCACTGCTGCTATAGTGTGATTTAGCAAATAGGGAAAGAGTAGGTTTCGTTCTTACAGTTCAGAGGTTTCGTTCTTACAGTTCAGAGGTTTCAGGTACTATTTTCTTGTTATTGCTTGTTATTTCTTGTTATTGTTCAGAGTTTACACTGCATCAATGTTACAACTTCTGTAACATATTATTCTGCTTTTAAGTAATCCTAGACCTGATTTCCTGATGCTGCTCTTCAGAATGAATAAAATATCAATGGGAAAAGTGCTCTTGGTTTCCATGTATTGCTGAATGGATTTTTAAGTCTGTTTTGGAGACCTACCTAGCCTGGTTTGTAGTGTAACTGAGTAAAGTGATTTCATATTGCTGAGCCCGAAGCAGAGCTTCTTATGTGAAAAAGCATAAGGCTTATGTAAAATTACACAACTGCATAGGAACTGATGCAAAATAAACCACATATCACCTGTGTGATGATTTTAAGTGTTCAAGCTTATAAGGTGGTAAGAATCCAAGTTGTGCTTTAGTACAGTAAGCAGCAATCCAGCATTTTGTGTCTCTTAAGTAAAGGCGATCTCTGGATCCAGTTGTGCTTTTTGATAATGTCCTTTGGTTTGTGTTTGACAGTTGCAGGAGAGTAACCCTCCTAGCTGGTATCATGCTGAATTTTATGGACAATGTAGCTCACTAGCAAAGCAGGGTGGAAAAAAAAATGTTCCTGGCTTTGCTGGATGCTGTGAATTGAAATTCAGAAAGATCAAGAATTGTGAATACAACTCAGAGCAAAGGTGGCAATCATGTTATGTACAAGAAAAAGGGTGCTCTTTGAGCCTGAAGGAGATTCATTTCATAAGACTGTGTTTAGAAGATGACTATATGTGTAATCTTCCTTCAGATGAAAAAAGCCGGAAAGCCTCATGCAAAAAACTGAGATTTTGATTCAATCATATATATTCCTCTGATCCATCTAACTCTTAATAGGGTATTAAGTGTATAATAATGTCATGTAGAAAGGTAGGAGAACTGAAAGGTTATGTGTTCAGTGATGTTGTTTGCAATTAAAAACCCAGAAGAAGGTTTATGGTTGTATGATCAACCTTGCATAAAAATAGTACGGTCACCTTGTCCTTTGAAATTGATTTTGCTTGCCTTAAAGGAAATATCTTTCAGGACATCCAGCGTGCTGCAGAGGATTCACTCGTACAAGTGCACATTATATTATCATTCCTTACAAAATAAAGATGATGATGGAATTACTGGTTCTGCAAAAATATCCCCTTAATATCTTTAAAAGAAGTTACGGCTGTTGTGTCACACTGCTGAAAGAGGCAGTGCACAGTATGTCCTGGAAGAGGAATTTCACATCACTTTGAAATATAAGCAGCATTTGCCTTTATAAACCATAGGTTTTTTTGTTAAAAACCAATTGCATCCCCAGCCATCCTCTGCAGCACACAGTTCTTAATATGTTAAAATAAGAAGCTTCAGCTTGCTTTATTTTGAGAGCTAAATGGAGACAGCTAAATCTGGGGTGAGGTACAAAGGGGTATAAAACACTGCAGAAACTCTGAAAGTGCTTGACTGAGGGAGAGAAATCTGGGGCAATGGGTGTGTTAAAGGACAATAAAATCTAAATGAGATGGGAGATCCACTATTTTTAATTGCTTTTTATTGCTTGACTGACTTTCTCTTTTTTTTCCCTTAGTTTTTGTGCTCACAGCTTGTAAGTTACACTTCTTCAGGTTTTGTTCAATAAGTTTAACTGTTGGCAGCAGGGTCGAGCTCAGGGGTGTTCTTCACTTACTGTTCCTCAGCACCAGCTTTTTAGTTCTGTTTCTGGAAGTTTCAACTCTCCCAGCAACAGGAGCTTGTAGGAACTGATGTTGGGCTTTGTCTTTTGCATTGACAGGTGGTTTGACTTTCATGCCTGAAGCTGCTTGTGTATAAAGCTTCCCTTTGGAAGGGCTGTGGAGCAGAGGAATGTGTAGTAACATGCAAAGATGTGTTTCAGAGGTGAACGGTGTGTTCTAGAGCATGGTTGGAGTTGTCCTGAAACTGCAGTAGCCCGTAGTCTTGTCTGGTGAGCCCAGTCACCCGAAATAGTCCTCACATGCAGAAAGCAACTTATGGGAGTTGTCTTCTGTGAATGGCTTCACTTGCTCTCAACTAACCTGTTGCTAGTCTCTGGAAGATCCAGTCCAAGGTCAGAGGCATCTATGGTTGGACTCAATGGTCTTAAAGGTCTTTTCCAATCTAAGTGATTCTGTATTAGTCAGAAGTGATTGGCAAAATTGCTGTAAAGTTTTAATCAAATGCCTGCATGTCCAGTGGAAGAAAATTAATAGTTCTGCATTGTTGTTTCTCCTCAGAAAACCTGAGAAAGGAGTCCAATACCTGATTGAGCGGGGTTTTGTGCCAGACACGCCAGTTGGGGTTGCCCACTTCCTGCTGCAGAGGAAAGGCCTCAGCAGACAGATGATCGGAGAATTCCTGGGAAATCGACAGAAGCAGTTCAACCGGGATGTGCTGGAGTGAGTACTGTGTGTGGGGAAGAGCACAGCCTCTTGTGATGGGAGTTTCCCCAAGCCAGACATACTGATGGTCTCTGAATGCTTTGTGCTTATGTCTGGATCTTGTTCTGAAGGAGGGGGAAACCAGACTTCAAGGGTTAAGAAAAAAACATGCACATGAGCAAATATTTGTGTCTTTGTTTTCCCCTAAGTTACTGTTTTGGTATTGATCTAACAAGATACTTGCAAGGATTTATATTCCCTGTAGTCATGTACATTTACTCTGAATTTATGTTTTAATTTCATTGGCCTTAGACTATATTATTTCAAAGTCTCTTTCCTTCCTCAGGCACTCTAGTAATTTACTGAATGAAACAATATAATATGTAACATAAGGCTTCATCAGTAACAGAACATGAAAATCATTGCTACAGCCACATGGCTCAGCTGTTAGATAAACAGGGATTTCAGACTGCATGGGCAGATGCTGACAAGATCTATACAAAGTGTTCTTTTCCAAAGGATTAGATAAACAAAAACTGGCTTAAAAAACAAATAAATTCAAAGCACAAAATTAGACTTTTAGTAGCTTGGTCATAAATTCCATAAATAAACCTTGTATAGAGTAGACAAAAAAGAAGCTTCATTTTAAGAGGGTGTCCATTTAAAACATGCATTCTTTTAGGGCCTTTGGGTTTTTTTATTTGATATACTGACCTGTAAATTCATTGTGGTCCAGTTTTGTTCAAGGAATTATGTAAACATGTAGTTAGATGTTTAACAAAACTGCTGAGAATGGACACACAATACCCGCATCTTGCCCATTGAGGAAGACCAGGAAAAATTTCGACCACGGGTTTTAACCAGCATATAATAAAACCTTCACTGAAATTTACATGGGTCTGTCGACACACTCTTGAGGACTCAGTGTTGATGCATAATATTGATAAATCCTCAAAATATTAAGGTTGTGGCATCATGATACAAAGTGTCTTGCCAACACCTTGTACTTTCTTTGCATAGTTCTTACAGACTGCTCTTACTGGCTTTTAACTGCAAAGATGTTGGTCACATTCTCTACAGTCATCCTGATCTGTTGTGCTGTCAGGACTTATCTCAGATTCAAGCTTGAATGCTGCATTAGTACAGCTAATGGCATGTGTATATATCATAGAATCATAGAATAGTTAGGGTTGGAAAGGACCTTAAGATCATCTAGTTCCAAGGTCTTCTCTTTCTTTCTTGTGCCTTATTGAAGGCTGCCTTCTTATAGCACAATAACCAGCATAAAGCAGCAGAAGAGCCTATGCACCACAAGCACACAGCTGGCCCTACAATACAGAGTGACGAAGTATAGCTTGACTTTGATGCAATCCCTACTCAGCATGAGTCAGTATTAGCTGCTTGTAATGGTGGTCTGGATTTTGCAATGATGAGTCAGACTGGGATGAAGGCTTTCCAAAGAGTGGGTGTCTCCTAGTTTTTTAAAAGAAAACAGAGCGGGTCCAAGACGAGATGACTTATAAACAGATGTGGTGTTGTGAACTTGAACAAATCGTTTGCCCTCTGTCTCAAACAGACTGGCAGAATCTGAGTAAGTAGAAGGGTATCTCTGCTGAGGCAGATGCTGTATCTATGGTGAGGTGAATTGTTAAAAGTAAGGTCATAATCACCTACCTACAACCCCACAGCAGTACTTTCATTGAAATAACCTGTTCTCCTGTAAGCTGTTCACCTATGCTTTGGAGCAAGGAGCATCCTGTAGGCAGTGCTGTTCTCTTGATAGTGTTCTGAAGCTGAAGAGGAACAAGGTATTTTTTTCTTAAAACAAGACAACAGAATAGTGTTTCAGTTTAAATACCACATGTACAGATTGCAGGTAGATTTTGTCCATCTGATAATAACTCTGGGTTTTGTTCCAGTTTTCCAGATCCTGTAAGTTAGGGTGTTTTAACTGCTTGAAATCTTCTTTTCACTGGAGTTTAGAAAATATTCAAAGAGTAACCTAAGTATTTGACCAAAAGCTGTATTCTGGGCCTACTGTAGTTGCTGCCTGGTGGCAGCTCAAGTGTAAAGGCATTGTTTGTATGCTGTGGAGCTTGCATAGCTGGCATTGATGGTGGTGCCCTGGCCAACATCTGCACACATCAGACACTCTCCCCAACACACTGCTGTCCTGTAGTGAGCCCCAGGTTTCCCTCTCTGCCTACCAAGGAGTGCTTGATGGAATAGAGATGCAGCTGAGAACCTGGCCTTCTGCTGTCTTGACTTTGCATTAAAAAACAAAAGGACACTCACTCAAAGAATAAAATAAAACCATCATAAGGATCACTGTTAAAAGTGGGACGGAAAGCACAACATTCTGCTGCTGTCAGGACTTCATCATTTCAGTTCAGTTTAGTGCACAGTTCTGTGCAAGACTACCGAGAGAGAACCAAGGCAGTTGTTGGTGACCCAGCAAATGGTACATTCCACTCTTCTTACTTGGATTTTGTAGAGAGGTGGTAAGCAGCGCATGGGTCCAGGAAGAAGTTTCAGTTCTCTGCCTCCTAGCAATGGTAAAGCTTCACTGGCTCATGCTTTTACCTGACTGGGACGTGTAACAGTGCTAGGGGAGATGTGGTCATTCTGCACAGGCTTGTTCACTCAGAGTAATGTATGTACTCATGTTCTCCTGCAGTGACTATAGTCACATTCTCTTTATCATTATGATCAGGATCTTATTATCATCAGGGATTCTGATTTTGTTAACTATTGTTAACAAAAGCTAAACAAGTGTGTCTCATCTTACTTTCATGTTTCCATTTGCTATAATGACTAAAATAACTTGTTCTCGTTTTTGTCATCAGATAGCCATGAGCAAAGTTTTGTTTGCTATTCTAACATACTTGTAGAAAAGTCCCAGTTCCAGTTAAGAACATTGACCAGGGTGGTATATCTGCTGTCTCCATAGCTCATGTAAAAGATGAAGACCCCTCCCCATTATGTTGTTGGCCAGCAAGGTCTTCAGTTGCTCTCATTTCTTCATTTTGACTCCAGCTTGTCTACACATGTGCTTTACACCTTTGAAGGAGAGAGCAGCTTTTGAAGCTGTTACAGAACTTATAATAGGTGGGAAGGCTGTGAGCATTATTGCAGAACTGATAATAGGTTTGTAGGTGTGGACTGGAATGAGCGTGAGAAATGCCAAACCTGTTTGTGTCCTGCTTCTGCATGGAGGGAAAACCAGTCAAGGCAAAGAGAATAAATTGCTTTGGTATTAATCTGTGTTAGTTACAATGTTAGTAGAAGAATAATGTGGGCTACTCTAATTTATCATTGTACAGCTATACATCCATGAAAAGGCTTTAAAAACTAGATTGTGCTTTCTCTCTGTGGTTTCTGCTTTACAGTGCTGTTACTTGCACTGATTCATGTCTGGTTATTTGAAAACTAAAAGCTAAGTTTAAAGACAGGAAATTCATAAGCTTCTGTTTTTAAAGTAGTCTCCAACTATTAGAATGACATAGTTCATGTTGATTATATTAAACTCGTTCCTATTTTATTTGTTGTCAGCACTGTATTTTCAGAGCAAGAAGCAATTACTTAGAATGTTAACTGAAAGACATGGCAAGTGATGGGGAAATGAGACTTACAGCAAGAGAGTATCCAAACAAGATGATTTTTTTTCTCTGTGTGCAAGAACATTCCTAGACACAGGAGCCGTTTGGTACAAACGACTGTGTTTGCTGCAGGCTGCTTCAGATAGGATATTTTGAGCAGTATAAACTATCTGTTATTATTATAGGCACTGTGATAATTGATTGGCCTGGAAGCACAAACCCAGTGATTATTCTTGGCAATGGTGTATCACATTGGTCAGACATTTGTCATTCCAGCAGCTCCTCTGCTACAAAAATAATAAGGGCCTGCTTACATGTACACATTGATCCATTATTTGTACTCCTTCCTTCACAGCTTACCTGCAGTTATTGCAATTGGTGAGATTTTGAATTTTTCAAACAACTCCATGAATCTCTATGAGAGGCGAAAAATTGAAAGGGTTTTTTGGTCTCCAAATCTTACCTTCGGTACTGTGTTGCTAGAAATTAAAAGCCATAATGGCAATATGTTTCTCTCCTAGCTGTGTCGTGGATGAGATGGACTTCTCAACAATGGAACTGGATGAAGCACTCAGGAAATTTCAGGCTCATATCCGCGTTCAAGGAGAAGCCCAGAAAGTCGAAAGGCTCATTGAAGCTTTTAGGTATGATGCTGAAATAAATTACTGAGTCACCAGAAACCTACTGGTGTCGAACTGGGGAACTGGGAAAGTGAAGTAAATCTAAGTTATTTCCATACTGATTTGCAGTGTTCTTGTAAGCTACATAGTTTAAAATCCAGCAGGTGATTGTGGTGGTTTTGCTAAGTATGAATTGGGAAGTTTTATTTGCTGGTACCATTCAAGTCTGGCATTTGTATTAACATAGTGAGGTTTCTCAATTAAAAGTTCTTTCTGGCATCAGTTGAAAAGATATTCCAAGATCTTTGAATCTCTCTGACAATGTATTTGGATATAGTAGTTCATATGAGTGCAATACAACACCATTTACATTTTGGAGTATATATGCTCAGCCTTTCATTAAGCATTTCAACAACAGTGGAATAAAGAGCCTTAACTTATTAAAACTAACACAAGTGTACTTGATCAAGGGCAGGATGAGATGTAAATCAGCATCCGTCAGTAAGCTAAAATCAATGCTCTGTTCTTACCTGGTGTCAATGGGAATTACTGGAAAAAAAAAAAAGGAATACTGAAGTTATTGTAGCTCAGAATCTGTTGGCTACTGCAGTGCCAGCAGAGAACAAAGCCTTCCACGTTCTAGGAGTGGCTTATAAGCTAAACATATGTATGAAACACAAATAATAGCTTGCTCAGCTTCTGGGATATGGGAGTTGGTTTATTTGGTAGAATCAGAACAGTAGCTCTGACAGCTTTCACTTCTGCTTTCTTACAGCCAGCGATACTGTATCTGCAATCCAGGTGTTGTGAGACAATTTAGAAACCCTGATACCATCTTCATTCTAGCCTTTGCCATCATACTGTTAAACACAGATATGTACAGCCCAAATGTGAAACCAGAACGCAAAATGAAGCTAGAAGATTTTGTCAAGAATCTAAGGGGTAAGTCGGCTCTACTGAGAAAGGTCATGAAAGCTTTTCCCTGTAACCGTCACTGGGGAGACACCATGTATTTTCTGGGATAAACAAAAACACGAGGCACTAGATGCTGATTTCACCTGACATAAAACTGCTGTCATTTTTACAGGCTCTAGCTGTTTCTGGAATAGTGAAAACAGAATTAAGCATATAGTCTTTTGTCATTTTTATCTTGTCTTTCTGAGTGGATGCATAGTCAGGTCCTTTTATTCCCATATATATACATATATATTAAGGAAGAGAAATCACTATGTCATGATGGGAACTTCTGGAAATAAACTAAAGATTTAAACTCTCACTGGAGGGGAAATCCCAACTTCAAAACCTCCCTAAAAGGTACACCATAAATAGCACGTAAGGTTTCATCTTGATTTCTTCATTGGTATATTTTTTGATCAAGAAGCTGCTTGCCACTCTATGGCACACCCAAACTGCAATTAGGTTGCCAAAAACTGTGGATATTTTTTCAAATCTGTGCCTCAGATCTTTCTATCCTGGTTCTTTCTGGTGAAAAAGAACAGGTTTTATGAAGTATCAGCTCACCAGTGCTCAGCCATGTCTAACAGGAAGCAGTCCCTGTAGAGCTGAGCAGGAAGTTCATGCACAAGGAGCTGGTGCCTCCTTTTGTTCCTGGGCACTCAAGGAAGAATGGATCAGACAGCATTTACCTTTTATCACGGAGGAGCACTCAGATGCTAGAGAAATAAAGTGAGGCTGAAGTCACCATCCCTTTTTCTCCTTTACAACAGTTTGTGCCTATAGGGAAAAAGCAGCTTTTACTGTAGTCCCATTACTGTGTTTGTGCAAAGGCCAGGAAAATTGCCTGCTCAGTCGTTGCAGCCCTCTCCTCCTCCCCACCCCCCACTTTTAAGCACAGAATAAGCACAATTTAGTGTAGTCCCTGTTCTTTTGTTGACCATGGCTGTAGCAGCATGGCAGCATAACAGGCACCAGCAGGCATTGATGTATTGTGTAACAGCCATTCTCTCTCACAACTAATAGTGGGCAGAATGGCAGAAACACAGAATCCAGCTGCTTAATATACATAAAGATCCTGGTGCATCTCAGAGGCATGGCAGTTTGCATTCCTGTGTGCATGTGGAACTTGCATTTTAGTCCTAGTAAAAACAAAATCCTTGTGGGGGTCTGGAATTTCAGACTGTGAAAGTCCTGGTTGGTGATTTTATTCCCTTAGATTTCTGTAAGATAGTAAGTGGTTTAGCTCAGCAAAATATAAGTTAGTGTTGAGATTTTACTGTAAAGTCCTCAGAGATTCAAAAAGGCCTGATACTCATCTCTTAGCATAATACTACAGTTATATTTGTTGTATTGAATACAGCACATTCTCTGTGAGCCCTACCCCAAATGCCAGCAATTCCTTACGGTTGTAGGCATTTTTGTAACAGGCTGCCTTGCCTGTGACTGCAAATGACTGGATCGCACAGGGTGGTCTGTGGAAGACTTTCTGATGTGGAACAGAACAGAGGCAGTTTTGCTTGTCTCTAGTTGCAAAGAAACTGTATTTTATCATGGTGAGCAGTTGTTCCACTGGATGACATGATATTCTATTTTGGCTTCTGAATGGGAGATAAGAGTTTATTGCTTTAAAGCCTGTTTAAAAAATAGATCTGCATCTCACTGTCCCCAGGAAATCCAGCTGTAAGTCACCTATTGAAACTGGACTCCTTCCACTGCTATTAAAATACAGGATTAAGCATTCAAGCCATGCCAGTGATCATCACAGAGTGCTAAACAATGACACTGTAACTAGGCTATTCTGATGATTTGTTTTCCAGAGTAAATAAATTGGCTTTGAAATCATACAGGAAATATCAGTTACATTAATTTTACTGGACGCCGATAAGGTTCTTGTGTAGGAAATTATTCAATGAACAATGTTGAGTAATATGACAGAGGCAAAACAGAATGGTTCTGCTTCCTTCCACTGGGTTACTCCTAGAAGGAGGCCATATGGAGATTTGAGTGTCTAAAGGGTTATTAAACTTATTTGAGCTTAGGTACCAAAGAGGAAACTTGAAAGGAAAAAAGAATAAAACCCCCCAAACATAGGAAGTTAGCCTTTTTATGGCTTAGTTTTAGATTAGAGTTGTGAAACAAAACCTCAAACCTGTGTGATTTCCATCAGTGTCTTGGCATACTGGGGGCAACAAGCTTTTGGGCAGAAATGAATGCTGCGGTGATGAGTAACGTAACTTCCACAAGGACTGCATAGGAGATGTGAGCTGACAAAAGTCTTGGAGGCTTTAGAACAAACCAGCAGGAAAAAGCACAGCACCAGTCTTGGGCAGCATGGGCTTTAGTGTTAGCAGAGAAAACAGAGATTGCTTATGGTTTTACCCTCTCCTTGCCAAGAAGCCCATTGCTGAGCAGTACCAGTGTGTCTTACAGCACTCAGAGCCAGGATGATAACAGAAAGTGTTGGCTTCCCATGGCAGGGCATTGGAACTGGATGGTCTTAAGGTCCTTTCCAACACAAACCATTGTGTGATTCTGCAGGTGTGGATGATGGCGAGGATATCCCCCGAGAAATGCTGATTGGGATTTATGAGCGAATCCGCAAACGGGAACTGAAGACAAATGAGGATCACGTATCCCAAGTGCAGAAGGTTGAAAAACTCATAGTGGGAAAGAAGCCGGTAAGTTCACTTGGCACTGCCTGTCAGTTCCTAAGGAGATGTAGGGCAGTGTACTGTATAGACAATACAGAGTTATTAGAAGTTGCTCAGAAGTATAAATGGCTTAGAAGCATAAATTGGCTGATAAATGGCAAAAGGCAGAAACTGCCAAAATAATTATTTGCTATAAGGTGGGGGTTGATTTTGGACAGTGCAGATGGATTTTGCTGTTGCAGTCTGGTATTCGTGAGTGATGAGGTCTTAAAGTCCTTATGGGAAGCTTTACAATTCTGGAATTACACTGAAATGTCTGCCTTTTAGGCAGCCCTCATGTTTCTTTCAAGAGAATTGTTTTGTTAAAGTGATGTTGTAGTGACTCCTATTTCAATTTTTGTGCTATCAGTTGTGGCTCTGTAAGTTACAAGAGTAATGGAAAACTCCATTTCAGCATCTTATTCAGCGTAGCACCTAGCTCGGTGAACTGGTGCTTGTAAGGCAAGATTGTGTCCTTTTGTCTTGGAACTTTCCTGGATATCAAATCCCAGGATTCTAATGCTGGGTTTGGGCATCCAAAGATACGTCTTGGTTTGTTGTGGGGAAAATCCTCAAATACTTTGCTAAATTAATGAATCTTCAAAGGATCTGATGGAAAAGGAAGAGAAAAGGAAGGCCACAACACTTTCCCTTTTGCTTTAGGAGTTGAGTGGACACAGAGCTATCAAGACCAATATTTTACATGCTAACGGTGGTATCTAATATGGCAAGGGACAGTGGATATTCAGCCTTCCTGAATTCCAGTCCTAGAGAGTCATCTTCTGACAGTGTTCATGTTAGTAGCCCCAAAGGCAGCCCAGAATAAAGCCAAAAACATACTGGACTTGCATGGGTTTGAAGTCCTACATCAGGTTTTTTTATCAGCTCTGGGAGCTTTATTGCAGCAGAGACTGATGGCTTGAGGGATTTTTATTAAGACAAAGAGCATGGATCTCAAGGTTTGTAATATCCCCTCAGACAAGCCTGAACGTGGGGAGGGAATGAGGGACCGCCAACAAAAATTAAACATGTCATGTACTTCTGTTTCCCAGTAAGGAAATATTGTGGAGATCTTTTAGAGAAGCAGAGGAGAAAGAAAGCAAAATTCCCTTAATAAAAGCTTTTACATGTATTTTGAGGAGAAGGGAAATAAATATTCTAAAGTCAGTATTTGACAGTCACTTGGGCTTTCATATGAGACTGATTTTCCAGAATTGTTGGGGGTTTTAGGTTTATATATAGGCTTCTGTGGGAGATGGGGTTGTTCCTTCATGGTTCTTTTCTTGTTCAGGCATGTGGTGCCTAAAATCCTAAAACTAATCTCACCCTTGTAAACCAAATGGGATTAAGAAAACAATGGCTCTGTGGAGTTCTAGGTTCAAGGATTCTTCTGTTGAAAGACTTTTAACTGTGTGAAAGAAACTTTAGGAAGCAGACAACAGCCTTTATTGATAGAAATATTTGTTTTTACTTTATAGGCATTTAGTCATAGTCAGACCGTGACTTTTACTTGCTATGATACAGTACTGTGTTTCTCTGAAGTTTAACGAACTTGTATATGTCTTTCTACTGTAGATTGGATCTCTGCATCATGGACTTGGCTGTGTAGGTATTTCTCTCATACTCCTTCCAAATTTATACTAACTTTAACTGGCAGCATTTTCTTAAACTTGCAATAACGCATTCTGTTACATAATAACTTCTAAAAAATGGGGCTTCTTTCACAAAATATTCTCCTATTGCTGTAGCGCTAACACTCCGAAGTATAAAGACTTTCTTCAAAATCTATTTCCCAGAGACTGATGGTTGTATTGCCAGGAGATTTCCAGACCTTTCCTTAGCACACTTTTGCTGCATTTCAAATGCCATTATCACTGTAGAAATAAGACAGCCAAGAAAGAGTCAACAAATCAGTAAACCTATAGTTGCACCTTCACTTTCCACCTGGGCCCTGGTGTGTTAATTCTCTCTGGCCCGTTTCAGTATTGAATGATACTCTAGAAAGATATTGCCAGTTAGTTCAACAGTTCTCTTCTGAAAGGTCATGGACATGGAAAATATCGATTCCAGATTTAAACTGTAGGCATATTCAATAACAATCCTAAACCTGTTCGTCTATTGCAGTGTTCCACTTGTACCATTTCATGGTAACTTTATTGCAAGCACTTTTGAACAAACACAGAAACCAACTCCTAGCAGAGGAGTGAAATGTGATTGCCTTATCCAGATTTGATCCTAATGATTTTATTGTTTAACTGCACTGTGCATTAGTATCTTCAAATGGGACAATCCAGAGAATCATAGCATCAGCCAGGTTGGAAAAGATCATCAGGTCTTACCGTTCCCCCAGCACTGCCAAGGCCACCACCAACCCATGTCACTGAGGGCCTCCTCTGCTCGGTGTGTGAACACTTCCAGGGACAGTGACTCCAGCTCTGCCCTGGGCAGCCTGTTCCAATGCCTGAGCACCCTCTGGGGAAGGAATTGTTCCTCAGCTCCATCTAAACCTTCCCTGGTGCAGCTTGAGGCCGTTTCCTCTTGTCCCATCCCTTGTTCCTTGGGAGCAGAGCCCAGGCCCCTCCTGGCTCCATCCTCCTGTCAGGCAGTTGTAGAGAGTGATAAGGTCCCCACTGAGCCTTCTCTTCTCCAAACTGAGCCCCCCCACCCCGTTCCCTTAGTCGTTCCTCATCACACTTGTGCTCCAGGCCCTGCACCAGCTCCTCAGTGTCTTTCTTGTAGTGGGGGGCCCAGAACTGAACACTGTGAAGAAGGAACTTTAAACTTGCATTTGGTTTTTCAGTCTTTTATTTCTTGCTTTGTCTGTGTAAACAATTAAAATCATGCAAACCTAGATTCACATTCCTCAGAAAACTGCCTATCACTCTTCCATGGATGCATGTCTAGCAGTACCGCTGGACTGTAAAAACAAACAGGAAGACGTGACCTTTATAAAATAGGCTGGAAGGGAATCTTACCAGCTCATCTATTGCTGTGAGTGAATGCACTATCTGCAGTTAAATTTCAATACCAGAGCTCACTGTAGTTGTCTGCAAGTTTATAGGCTCAGTGACTCTCCTTGGGGGTTTTTACCTTGCTGTAGGCAAATCTCCATCTGCTGTGTGCTGTCTGAAGCTAAGCTGAGGTAGGAGAGAATGAGAACATGAGACATTCATTTCTGGTGCTTTGCACTGAAGGTTCAGTTACCAGAATAACCTGGAAACAGAAACCATTGCTTTCTCCTGCATTCTTCACATTGGCTCCTTTAGAACATGGCACATTTCTTTCTTAAATACGTTCCCCTTGCAAATCTGGGGAGGATTATTAAATTCATGCCATTGGTAAATTAAATGTAATTAGTATTTTATCTGTTATTAGCATGGTTATCATTGGATTGAGGGGAATAAATGGAGTCTCACCGAATGACTTGCTGACCAACCAGAAATGAGGGCAGATCATGAACCCTAAACTCTTCTACACCTTCAGTTTTGGTTTGGGGTTTTTCGCTTTTCCCTGCTCATGTAGAGGAAGAAGCAGCATCAGCAGTCTTTGACTGTTTTTCTTGACCTAGTACACCTTGTAATTCCCATGCAGAATGAAGGATTTACAAAGAAACATAATGTATAAATGAAATCTGTGTCTAGTTACCAAAGAGTATTCTCTACTTCAAATTTTTATAAAGTCAAAAGGATTTCTTTTAATATTGTTAACAAGATATCAGCATTTGCATTTGGAATAAATGCATTCTGTTGAGGAGGAAAACAGTAGCTCTGGAGACAGCTTCAGCAGACAGCTCAAATCAGAAAATAGAAAATTATTCTTGGTTTTCTTGCTAGCCTGAGCAAATAAGCCAGACTGAAAGTGCATTTACTTCTTCCCGGTGTCACCATGTCCTTGGTACTGGGGAGTGAACATACTGGCTTAATTCAGTGACTAATAAAGAGTAACATACAACATCAGCGTATTCATCTCACAGAAGCTAAAGTTGCTTTGCAACTTTTCTCCTAATAAAGGTACGATAAAATGCTCAGGAAAGCACCATCCTTTGATTTTAGCTTCCACTTGCTTAACCCTACGGTCTTTCAGGGCTTTATCATTCCACAAAGACTCTGTCCCCAGTAAAACTTTCTCTGGCATCCATATACAAGAATGTGAGCTGTTAGAGAATGTTTTATACAAGAACTTTAAGGAAGTTTTAAGTATCATGTAACTTTGTGGCATATAAATCTTTATTTCTCTGTTGTTGGTATATTGATGAAAAAGTCCTGTGGCCTTATAGGTAGAAATATTTGAGGTATTCAGAAGAAGGCTGTGGGTATGAAAGATGCTCCTTCTTGGCTACCTCTTGCTCTGTTAACCATGGCTATTTATATTATCACAGGTCCTCTCGCTACCCCACCGGAGGCTGGTTTGCTACTGTAGGCTGTTTGAAGTTCCAGACCCAAATAAACCTCAGAAGCTTGGACTGCACCAGCGAGAAATATTTTTATTTAATGATCTTCTTGTGGTATGTATCTTGGGGTGGACAGGCTGCTAGTGAGGTGTTCAGAGTGCCTGGCTCCAGGGAACCACCAGCATTCAGGGCATGAGCATGCCTAAAGAGAAATATCTATTACCTGTTACTCTGTACTCCAACAGGCTTGGGATGATTGAGGTTTAAATCTTCTTCATTATACAGAATTTGCTCTTCAACTGAAGCCATTTATTGATTACTACACTCTATTGTAAGAAAGTACTTTGATGCAGTAGCTTTTACCATAAAGAAAAAATTACATCCAGGTTACCCATTTCCTCACTGGGTAAACAGAGACATTCTTTTCCCTGGGAATAATGAATTCAAGTTACTTGTGGAAAAACAAAATCACATTTTACTTCATATTCACAGATGTTCTATGAATCAGACATGTTTCTTCTTTGAAATGGGAATAGGATATGTTGAAATAGGTCTTACAGTTGACTTTACTTTTCAGTGTGTATTTAACTTGATGGGTCTTTTGCAAAACAGACCTACAAAACTGGTGACAGCTTGGAATTATTTGGTTGATTTACTCTTCAAAATAAGAAAATTTGTTGCACTGTATTTGGAGTGTATTTGGCTGTTACCTGAGAACCTTAGAACTAAACTAAAAATGTGATTTTTTTTAATGAAAAAGGCATGACTCAGATGCACAACTTTATTGTGTGTAATTTTTACATCTCTTCAGACCTTAAAACCAGGAAGTAAACGACTGTAAAAAATATCCTTTCAATTGTGAGTGTAACCTTCTAGTTGTAAATGTGCTTAGGTGTAAAATGATGGAACATTGCTGTCTTCAGGTTACAAGTTTTCTGTCATTTTTTATTACTTTGATGTCAGTAGTTTTATCAAACTGTTTTGGGACTAATATTGAACAAAGCTGTCAGTTGACCAGGTGCCATCACCAAAAGTTAAAATTAGAAAGAACTAGTAAAAATAAACTTCTTGCATTTAAAGACTGATTGCATTCACACTTTAGGAGAACCCCAGAACTGATGGTCAGTAGTAGCATGTTACTCCTATTGTAGCAAAAAGTGCAGGTTGCCACAAGCTCAGCTGTGATTGAGATAGGTGCTGTATAATCATCAGGAAAACAGGGGTCATGGATGAGGTAGTGTAAGAGAGTCTTTGGAGGAGCACGGAAGTGGAGCAAGTTTAGAAGGCACATGAGAATAATGACTAAGAATTAAACTTGTCTGAAGAGGTCCATAGGCATGTCCTGCCCAGAGTCAGACGAAGAAAAAAGCATGAGGAAAAGTGTGGCAGCAGCTGAGCTTTTAAAAGGATCATTTAAACATACTCAGTTTCTGCTGGCATGTCCAGTGCACAGTATGGATGTGGGGTTTTGGTCAGGAATTTCAAGTAGAATTCTGGAGAATAGAGAACACAAAGACTTTGTATCTGGATGAAATATTAAACCTTCTGGTGAAGAGATAGCAGTGCCTCAAAGTGAGCTTTGTTCCTTCAGAAGTCATAGACTAAATAGATCAGATGCATTAAAAATGAGGAAAAAATGACCAGTTGTTATTTTCTGGCAGATTATAGCTTTCTGTGGTATAAAATTTTTCCTCATATGCTAACTCTCAACAATAATTTTCCACAAACACATATGGTCAAAGGGATATTTCACTTGGTTTATTTGATGACTTTCAGGTGACCAAGATTTTTCAGAAGAAGAAGAACTCTGTTACATACAGTTTTCGACAGTCATTTTCCCTCTATGGAATGCAAGTTCTTCTGTTTGAGAATCAGTGTAAGTCCTTCCTCTCTTTTTTAGATAACCATTTTATTCAGACAAAAATATAGAAGGCAGTAAAGAAATTCGTGAGTGAAAGGGATGGGCAGGACTTGATTCTGAATTTAGGAATAAAATTGCTCTCAATTTAACTTAGCCCTAAAGTTTAGAACTGTAAAGTTTTTAGATGGTGTCAGCATAAGAAACAGCAAGACTGCTGTTAGGTCTTTGGGGTTGTAGTCAGAAGCCAAATGTTGCTAAATGTGTTGGTTGTGAATACTTGTAAAAGGTTTGAAAAGAAACAAATCTATCTCCTGCTGAGTCAGTGGTACAGTTAGCTGGAACTGTATCTATGATAACAAGTAATGGCTCTCATAATGATATGTGTAACTCAAAGCACTGTTTAATTTGTTTTCCTGATTTATGTCCCAACTTCCTGCCTAGGTAATGCATACTGCTTCAAATATAAATGCAAAACAGAGTCTGGATTAGAGTTTCTATTTTGCGATACCTCTTGTTTATGTCAGTTGTAATCTGCATCAATAGACTCTTCTTATCTTTAATGCTTATCAAGCATACTCTTACCAGACAAAATCCCAACTAAAAGCAAATAGTGTGCTAATGCCCTGATTTTAAGCCCAGAGGCAGCATCACTAACTACACAGCAGAGCACAGTGGTCAGTTTGGCACATGGGGAGATGGTCTCCTTGACCTGACTTCATGGTTTGGGAACCAGGCCTTGACCTTCCCGATCAGCTGGATGCAGTTCAGTGTGACATTCAGCAGTTTCTGTGATTTTCTGTTGTGGAAGGCTCTTAGTTTTCACTTGTCCTTGAGAATGTGCTCCAATGCTCATCTCTCTCAAAAGAAGTCACTGTTACTGAGTCAAAGCATCTGGAGATTTCAAAAGGGAAGATTTTGTAGAGCTTGCAGCAGTGATGTAGCTCGCAGGGTATTTATATGCAAATACATTCATTTTCTCTCTTAAGCACGCATTATATGATATAAAACTCATTTTTTGAGAGGAAGGCCAAATACTTCTATCCGGGATTTTGATGAAAATAGGAGAATATAGAATTCCTCTGATGTCAAGTTAAATAAATAACTATTTCATAAGCATACTAAACAGAAACATTCCATTCAAGCAACTTAAAAATAGCTGTAGAGAAACTAGGAATAAAGGGCTGGCTTCCTTCCAGTGAAGTGGAAGCATTGTCCCTGAGATACTTCAGTAGGAGTAGTTGGGCTTGTAAGGTGGTTTCACTACAGTGAGTCGCTGAGCTGATTACATTTCCAATATCAGTGCCTGTTAGTTGGAGTGAAGTATTTTCCAGTTGGGAAAGAGAATTATTCTCCTTTTGGTTTGTAAAATTCATATGCTTGGTTTCCCCTGTCCCCAGCAAGCTTTGGGGTGTTTTGGCCAGAGCCATCATGCTATTCAGTCGATCTGTGTGTAGCAGCTGTCAGAAATGCCTGATTTCCAGTGGATAAAATTTCATGTCAGTGAAGCAGAAGCAACAAAAATACTGGTTTGACTACTGATGAGGTTGTGCAACATGATCGGTGTTGATGATAGAAGGCTTGACTTCTAATGATAGAAGACTTCACCCCACCCCTCAAGTGTAACCAGCTCTTACAATTTGTATTCTCAGATGTGCAGCTAGAAAAAAGGCAAAGAGAGTTTGCTGAAAAATCTGCCTTTTATTGTGGGGATGTCCGTAATATCCCCTATATGGCGTTTTTTTTCCCCGCTTGGGATTTTCCTTTTATATCATACATTGTATCTGAGGAGTAACAGCTGCGTAAAGACTGTCTTTCAGTATTTAATCAGCATCTTGACACTTAAGCAGTTCTGGTGTATCTTAGGGAATTTCATTCTAATTCTGTGCCTTTAGACTTTTCTTTCTCTGACTTTGTCCTCTGGATGGTAATATTAGTAAAAAGTTTTGGTGTGGTTTTTTAATTAAAAGTACTTGGAATAATAAGAGCTCAGGTTTTCCTGACTTTTTCTTCTAGATTATCCCAATGGTATTCGGCTCACATCAGCTGTTCCGGGAGCAGATATCAAAGTACTCATAAATTTCAATGCACCAAATCCTCAGGACAGGAAGAAGTTTACAGATGATTTGAGGGAGTCAATTGCAGAGGTTCAAGAAATGGAAAAGCACAGAATAGAGTGTAAGTACAAAGGTACATATGATAGAGCATTCTCGAGGTAATTGAAATAAGAAAATCTTGAATACACAAATAACCCATGAGAATCCTTTAAAAGTTGAACATAATGTGGGTTTTTTCCATGGCTTTGACTCTAGAAAGAGAAAAAAATCCCAATGATATCTGAAGCTCCAGCTGGGTTTCTGGACTACTATTTACTGCAATGTAGCTGCAGTGGAAATGTAGCCTGTACAAACCACAAACAGCAGTGGCCAGAGGAGGGATGGATTTGTAATTTGTAGGATCTCTTGCAGGAAGAATTCTAGGGATAATTTACATCCTGAAATGCTCAGTGATGGCCCTTCAAGTAAGTTTTTCTGAGTTTGTGACTAAACATGGAATTTTACCTTCTGTTTCTTCTCAAGAGGAATAGCCTTTCTTCTGTGTGTTGTAACATAAAGCTGTTAGTACAGGGGTGAAGCTCCTCTCTGGCATCTAACAGTGCCAAAATGAACTCTTATTTATTATTCATGGTTGTACGTGATCACATAGAACTATAGAATCATGACGGTTGGAAGGGACCTTAAAGATCATGATGTTACCCTGTCCTTCATTATACTCAATAAAAATGAATTGCAAAATGATTCTCTTTGTTTCAGCTGAACTAGAAAAACAGAAGGGTGTGGTGCGACCAAGCATGTCTCAGTGCTCCAGCCTGAAAAAAGACTCTGGCAATGGGACACTGAACAGAGCTTGCCTGGATGACAGCTATGCCACTGGGGAGGGGCTGAAGAGGAGTGCACTGAGCAGCTCCCTGAGAGACTTGTCTGAAGCAGGTAAGCACTGCCTCCATCTCCCTGCTTCGGCTAGTGCATGCAAAGATGCCTGAGAGATACATAGAAAGCCCAGTGCACAGTGGGCTTCCAGAACTAGTCATACTGAAACTTCAAACGTTTTAAATAGCTCCTCTTTCACGGTTGGTGTTTAATTTCTGTTTGTTTCTTTACCCTTGTTCTATTAAGCAACCACTATTTGAAAGCATTTAAACCGTTGTAGATTGCTATGTATACTTTTAAAGGACAGTGAAGACAGAGGAAAAATTGTAAGTGTTCTATAAAAGTAATGATTGACTTGTGCTAGGAGTAACCCACTTAGTTTTCGTTTCTTTTTTTCTTCCCCTTTGCTTCTCCCCCTTCATACAGTAGGCTTAGAAAGAAAATAAGAAACTGGTCTCTGTGTAATGACCGCTTTCTGTGTATTTTGTGCTCAAGTGTACCTGTGTTACCACCTTGATGAATGAAATTGAGTGAAGCCCTACTAAATTCTGTCTAGAGCTATGCAATTCAGATACAGCATGTCCCTGATGCTCTTTTATTGTTTGTAACTCAAGATACAGTTCCCAATTCTTGCAAAGAGGTTGTTGTGAAATACTATTGCCAGTACAATAAAAGAAGCCCTAGTGGCCAAGAACACTGACAGCCCATGAAGCCACTGATGTGTCTTGAGATTAATTAACTGGTAATGCAGCTAACGACTGGAAAGCAGTGGTGGTGTGATTTTTTTTAGCCAAAGGAAAGCCAGGGGAAGCTTGGTATGCTTTGCTTTTATGGTCTGCCTTGGTAACACACAACTGGCATACCCATGTAATACAGGCTGCCATGGGCAGTAACCTTGTCTATCACTATTAAATGTGACTCCTGTCATTTACAGGAAGCCATATCTGAGCACTGTGCCCATTATTCAGAAAGTACTTCTGGGGATAGTAACAACTATATAAATTTTGCTAGTTCATATTCTGTGTTATACACTCTGATTAGTTCTTTTAATTGCAGTGATGATTTACAGTACAGTCATAATTTCAATACAGTGTACATCTTTGGTACTAGACACTACTTATTCATTTTCTTAACTAAAGAAGAGATTTTATCTATGCTGCAAATAAATAAAGTTGTAAACTGAACTTACAGCCTGTGTTCTGTGGGTATATGTATGTGCACACAGATATGTAGAGAGTGAGCTCTTTCAATTATTTTATTCTCTGTTTAGGCTTTCATACTCATATGTCCATTTGCTTCATTAAAAAGACCTAGGACTTGATCCAGAATCAGGCTGAAGTTGAATATTGGTGCTTGATTGGCTTCAGTGGATTTTAGATCAAGCCACTAGTCTTCACCACTGTTACATCTCTTGAGGATACTTACATCACCTTTTCTGTTGTTTTAATTTCATTAGAAGGAGAACTACCATATTGTTGGATATGTGAGTTCAATGGGTGCCTGTACCCACAAAAGTGATTTCTGATTAATTTTATTCATTCCATAGGAATTTCTCAACCCTGTCTTTCAAACATTGCCATGTGTTTAAATTCATGTTTTGGGTTTTATGCAATAAACAAGTATTTGTAATCATGAAAGCATTTCACGTTTCAACAGGGCATGCCTACAATTGCCATGCTTATTACTGAAAATAACTTTTTCCATACTAAAAAGTAGAAATCACAGACTGGAGGGTTTATCAAAGAGTTTGCTAAACCCAACTAAACTTAATTTTAACTTTAAAAGTTGAGAATTATGGAGAGTTTCTGTTTGGTCTTGTGCAGTGCAACTGACCTGAGAAATTACACACCTGTTACGTGCTTTGTTATTTGGTGTAGTAACTGTCATGAGATTACACATGCTTTTCCTGCCTTTTCTCAGTGAGCAGCTTGCATGTGAGGCTCATTATTGGGTTATTTTTAATAAGGGACAGATTATCCACAGAAAAACAAATACATCCCTTCAGTTAGCAAGATACTGCAGCCCAGTCATTATACCATATTAAACTGCTTCTATAAAAGACTATTGAGTTAAGTTGCCCTAATTCTTCTTTTGTGGATGAAACATACGGTCAGCAAGAAGGAGGAATAGGAGTAGTGGATGTAGAGGAACAAGAAGTAGAAATAGAGGAACAAGAGTGTGTGGACGTGTGTCTTTCTGTAGGAAAAGGCGTGATGAATGTGGATTTGTAAAGAGTTCCTTTCTACATTTAAGCAGAAATAAATCATCAACATGAGCAGATTGCCTGGTTGCATGTTTGTGCAGAAAGGCAGAGAATTGTCCAGTGAACATTGCAGAAACTAATTGAACACTTTTAAACCTTTATCCAAGGAAGGGGAAATCTGATGGGGCAGCATTTTGCTTACACGGCTATATGACAAAACTCTGTAGCAAAACAGTTCATTACCCTCTACCAGATATCACAGCAATAAATCCTGTCTGTGGAAAGCCACTTTATATTTGGCTCTTGGAAAAGAGTGATGATTCATAAGCTTCTTAGACCTAATGGAAGTTGATAGCTGGAATTATTCCGACTCCTAAACTGTAAACCGTATGGAAAGGCAAGGCTTCTGTCAGGTAATAATGTCAGGAATCACTTTCTGATGGCTGTTCCTTCATGCATTTGCCGTGATAGCTTAAATCATAATTGCAAAAAGGACATGTGTGAAGGTCTCTGGATTTAAAAGATACTATTGTTCATTGTGGATTACCAGTTCTTTCCATGGAATAAAAAGAGAATGTGGCAACCAACTGCAGAATCAGTTAGGCTGGAAAAAACCTTTAAGATCAGCAGGTCCAAGATGTGACTGTGTCAAAAGTATTTAATGTTCTCCTTTTCTCAAAAGCAGAATATATCATTTTTATTACATGTGCTTGAGCCTCAGTCAAGCAAGAGCTGAATTTATTTGTCCCAAACTTCTCAATTCTTAATTTACATTAAAATACTAGAAGACAGACAAATTTTAATGTGGTTAAAGCTGAGTTTTAGACATTCCAATCCAATTCTGGGCATTTCACCACTCACTCCATATACAATCATATAAGTAGGTTTACAGAAAGATGGGAAAGGTATGGCTATTAGCACATGGGAAGAATTATCTGGTCACTTAAGCAGAGCATGGAGGATTACATGGGTTGAGTTTCTCACAGGTTTCTTGACTAGTCAGTCTGAACTCCAGTGACTCTGGGTTGCTGGAGGACTCCCTGCTTTCACATTGAGTGGACAGTGGTGAGAACCTAAGGAAATCAAGCTTTATTCTCCCCATCCCTAACCTGTGAGGTGGAAATAATACTTGCACACTGCACTGGTTTAAAAATTGTCTATTTATGGTTTGCCTCAGTAATACACAACTGGCATGCCCGTGTGACACTGGAATCTGCACAGTAGTCAGTGGTCACTGTTAATATAAGTAATGCTTGTCTCATAATCTCCTGAGCTATCTCAAAACAATCACAGACACTGGTGACTGCTTTAAAAACAATTTCATCATGTATTCTCTAAAATTTTCTATATCACAAAATGTAATGGAAAATACTGTGGAATAGTATTGTAATCCCCTTATAGATTCTGGCTTCATGCAATTACAGAATCCCTTCTTAATCTGCTAAATGGGTGGTATGGGACAGTCCCTCATCAGATGCAAGTAGGGTTACTGGGTTATTTTCTCCTTCCTCTTCCCCGGAATTTTGCTGCACTACATTGGATGAAGGGTACCAGCAGTCTTTTTTTCCCTTATTAGAAGAACTTTCCAAGTAGGGAGGGATTCTTCCCATTTCTTCCCTTGTCACTGTTGTATTTCCTGTTCTTCAATGGAATAGCAACAGTAGTGGGCATGATAGAATTTACTGGGGTTTTAAAACAAAAGGGATTTGTATGAATCAAGTCTTCTGTGATCTCCAATGTGATATCTTTTGTGATATCCGATTTTGTGAAATCATTTTACAAGGCTAGATGCCCCCCTCTGGTTAGGAACACCTTCATATCAGCAACTTTTCTGTCTGAGGGAAGAGACACGGTTTGCTTTTGCAGTGAAGGAGTTCAGGAAGGCAAGGTGTGGGTATGCTGTTTTCTCATCTCCTGAGGCTTAATCAGTATTTGGAGAATAATCTCTTTAAAGATACTAAGAAACTGTTTTCATCATCAGTGTATGATCTTAAGAATATACCTATTTCTCCCAGAAATCAAGATGAAAATGTGAAGGTTACAAAGAGTCTTTTCACCCTGAAAGTAGTCTCTCTAGTGACCAGAGCCTGTTTTGTAGGTAATTTTAATCAGGTCAGCTTGGGTAGTACCCATGAGCTGATGGGCAGTTAGATGGTTACAGATTCTGCTGCTGCTGAGAGAATCATTTTCACAGCCTTTGGAGATTACTATAACAACCCACTGTTGTAGAAGAGCTGCTATGTCAGTTTGCTTCACCAAAACCTTAATTTAGGACTTTTTCCAACCTTTTTTTCCAAGATATACATGGGCAGATGATCATACATTGTTTAGATATCTCACTGGCAATGAACAGTTTCAAGAAATACAGGGTAGCAGTGAGACATGCTGACATTTACTGTAGTGACCTGCACATCTGTGAGATCAGTTTCTGCAAGGTAGAATGGATTTTTATTCATGAAACTGATTTTTCTTTTGGCATGTTTCAGTTTGTAAAAATATTTTAATCACTTCATATTTCTACTTTAAATTTGAAATATTCTTAGTCCCATGCAATGCATGTTCATACGTAGAATCAGAGAATGATTGAAAATATGGGACATATTATACATATGTAAGTTAAAGGTATTTCTTAACAAGAGTGTCCATATCTAACATCAATGATTTCTTGGAATGAATCAGAAAAGACTAGATTAACTGGAACTTAATTTTATAAGAATAAATTAAAAGTTTCCAGTAGATCAGTAGTATATTAGGCAAAACTGGTCTCTTGATAAATATCACCTTGCTTTAGATCACAGCTGTTAGTTACTATGTGAGTACAGAGATACACTTCCATCCAGTGCTAGTGGAGTGACACTGTTCCCTTGAAAGGCATTGGAAGGCTGCAGCTCTAGGGAAGCATTTCTGAGAGGGGATGCTGCACCTCGGACACCAGAGAAGAGCCTTGCATAAGCACACATTGGCAGGGGGAATGTTCTAGAGGATTTACTTAATAGCTTTCCTATCAAGCTTTGGGTCAATACAGAATTGGGTTCAATTTGGTTTTAAGAACATAACCAAAGTGCTCTGAGTAGAGATAGTGCCAATCTGAAGGAAATTACAGGCATATTAAGTAAGATTTTTCTGTTCTAGCAAAGTTAGGTTTTTTAGTCTGTTTAGCAAAGTTAGCAAAGTAGTACTTTGCTAGTTCTACTTTGCCCTGAAGCTACTCTAAGCAAAAATCCATCCGTCTCTTTCTGTCCCTATATACTGCATATATACTGTCATGGTTATTTTATTAGAGACTCGCCTCCTGCTTTACACAAAAGGCATTAGATTTTCCTGGTTTCCTTCATTTTTGGCCACATTTAATGACCTGTGGCAGCTGTCAGTCTTATTTGCAATATTGCCTGCTAGGTCAAGAGATGGCTATCTTTCCCAGTGTTTCTGTATCAGCAAGCAGGAGGGATTTGAGTATTCATTGGTATTAACCCCGTGAGTGGAGAAAAAAAAAAAGTCATAGCCTGACTAGAAGTAAAAAGAAGGGATTATCAAACCCAGCTTTTCTTGGGGAGTTCATAAAATAGTACAGTTGTGGCTTTGATGAGGCTAAAACTGCAGCAACAGATGAAGTGCTTTTGACCAAGAGCCTGTTCAAAATTCCAGCAAGTCTTAACAGGTCAACCAAAACAACTTGACCACAACATTCCCCTCAACTGAATGTCAGTGTAGAGAAGTTTGTACTGGGGAGTAATGCTTGGGTTTAGTAAGAGAGGGGGAAATGTTACAGTACCATAAAGAGAACTGTAGCTCCTAAGAAAAACTTGTGTTGTGGGGCAGCATCCCTGGACCAGCCAGGCCAAAGCTGTGCTTATGGATCCTGAGGTGGCACTTTAGATCATACTGATCTTGTAAGACTTATGGGTAGTGTAAATGAGAGAGAACATCCAGGATCTTGTGTCCTACGTGTAGCCTCTGAGGTGTTCTGGCTCTTTAGGCAAACAGTGGTGTTTCAGTCGAAGTTTTAGGCAAATGTCTTGGGCAGTTTGGGACCGTGGGAGAACAAATCCATCAGACTTGAAGCTCAAGCACTGCACAGCTAAACAAACAAAATCTAGCCATAATGTCGAGACAGATTCCAGACTGATCAAAAATTAAGTTTAGTTTTTTTAAGCCTCATGAAAGAAGATTATATGAAATCCACTGAGGTTCAGAACTGAAACTGGAATGATAAAACCAATGCCCCTCACTGGTGTCCCCCCCCACCGAAGACCAGAATATGCCAATATTAGAGTCTGTATTTAAATTAATACCAGCCCCCCAGTATACATCAATGCTACCAGTCTTTAAAGAAAGAAACTTCATAGACAACTAAATACTAGGAAATCAAACTATTTAAAATCATTGTTGGCCAACATCATAACCATACTACTAAATATAGATGCTCTAAAACACATTTATTGGAAGAGTTGTACAGCTACTTAAAAAATCACACCCCGCTAACGGTAGTCGATTCACAACAACAATGCCTCTGAAAAACCAGCCAGGTACAGAAACTTAATGTAACTAATGGCCTTAAAATGGCAGTTTCTGCCTCTGTAGCTGCTGTACCAGTCCAGTGCCATGTTAACCCCGCAGCCCCTAGTTGCACTTAGACTGCTGTAGCAATGCAGGGCAAGCAGCTGTTTTTCACCCGGGTCTTGTCTCATCTCTAATCTCTGGTGTTGCATGTCCTGGGCAGGCAAGCGTGGGAGACGCAGCAGTGCAGGATCGCTAGACAGCAATATGGAAGTAAGTAGGAAGTTCCTGATGTCTAGCTGGATGTGATGATGTGCATTTCAAACCTTTCTTTTATATACATATTTTTTTGCTCTTTTTTCTTCTAACATATAACCTGCCTGCCACAAATAAAATGCATGCCTAGGCTACTCACTCCGTATTCTTCCAGCTTAAAAAGCACTGACAGCTTGTTTTAGACCAATGCCATTTTTGGTTTGAGCTAACCTTGTTCCCTTTGTTCCTGCAAGCATGGTTAAATGAGTATGATGTGTCCTTTTGCCACCATTTCAGTCTGGTCCCAGCTTAAAAGCCCACTTGCTTTTTGTTACCAAGTACACTGTTCTTGCTGTTTGATATTTAGCTACAACTATCAACTTTCATGCTCAACCATTCCCATTGCTTATTTTCGAGTTAAATTGCTCAATGTATGCAGTCATGACACCATGGAATTGCACAGATAGGGCATGGGAGGAAAAAAACGATTAAGATAGGTGAATTCAATGTGGATTTCATGAGATTTCATTCATCTTCAAACCATTTATATATACTGTTCATGTCTCTGAATTCAGCTTGCAGATTTTTTTCTTTATTTTTCTCCTTTTTTCTTTTGACTTTATTTTTTGTGTTTGCTTTAGGTAGATTGCAGTTTCAATCTAGCACACTTTGCCTAAGTACTGTTGTGTCCCATAGCTCTTTTTAAACAATACAAAGCCAAAATGTCCAGCAACTAAATACACCATTCCAGACTAAATCATAGAAAACATTGGGTCAGAAGAACCCAGTCCCATAGAAACCTAAGTGGCAAAAATGATCTGATTCCATTTCACACATAACTCAGAGGTAGGCTTGAGAAGCAGCACTGTGGCATATAGTAGTGGAAAACTACTATAAAAGCATAAAGTTAAAAATAGTGTTTTGAAATCAGAATTGTAACAGTAGTGTTTGCTGCTCTGTGTTTTAGCTATTTAGGTTGAATTTAATGTAGCTTTATTTTTTGTTGTAAAAAGGCAAGTATGGTATTTTTTACAGTATTTTAAAATGCATTTTTCCTTTAAAAACACACTCCAAGGTCTTCTGTCATGTTACTCTTCCGTGACATTTTTCTTACTTAAAGTCATAGCTTTTGTTATTAAAATACTGAGAGAAGAACATTTAATGCTTAAAATCCCCCAAGAAGGGCACGAGTGCCTCCTTGGCAACTCGGAGAAGGTGGAAATGACATTTTTCCTACAACCCTTAACATAGTCCACCCCTGCGAGCACTGAAGGAGGAGTTTGTGGGTCAGTGTGAACTTTTTCTTTTAAACATTTTAAGATTTTTTTAATTTTTATTTCTATTAATTTCTTTTTAGGGGTCCATCATTAGCAGTCCTCACATGCGCCGAAGAGCTACATCAACCCGAGAGTGTCCATCTCGCCCTCACCAGACTATGCCTAACTCCTCCTCACTCCTAGGTTCCTTATTTGGTAGTAAAAGGGGAAAGCCACCTTCCCAAGGCCATCCACCATCCGGCTCATCACAGCAACCTCCGCACCCTCCAGTAATCCCACATCAGCAACACTCACAGCATCCTTCTGCCATGCATCACGCGGGGCCAGGCGAGGGGCAGACGCAGGCCCAAGTGCACTCTCACCATTCGCAGTACTGCCACATGCAGCAGAACCCACCGCCCTACCACCACCACCACCACTACCACCCTCCCCAGCATCTCCAGCACCCACACCAGTACCACCAACACGTGCCCCACTCCCAACACGCGGCACACTCCCCACACACACCCTACATGCAGCACCCTCACTCTCAGCATTCCCACTCCCCTCACCCACCGCCGCACCCAGCACACTCTTCTCATCCTCAGCATCACCATGGGCCACCACCGCCCCCCTCCACTTCAGCCAGCACTAAGCCCAAACACAGTGGCATCAGCACAATAGTCTAGAACATATTGACCCTCCTAATAACTGTAGTTTTAAACCAAGTTACAAAGGCACTTACAGGAAGCACCAAGTAATATTGTCAGTTTTTACCTAGATGATTTAATTGAGTTGTGTGAGCTTACAGGCTTGCTGTTACTAAATAAAATAATTCAAGTTAGCGCAGTCAGTACTGGTTTTACTTATCTACTCAATAGAACTTCACCATCTGGTTAGTTCTTACTTCCAAACTGCCTTGAAAACGTGCTGTTTGCTGCATATGAGTAAAGCGACCTTTCCCACCAAATCCCTTGGCAATTTTACCTGCATAATAAAAACTTAGTCTATGGAAAAAGGGACAAAGTGATACAGAACCAAGTGTTGCATTCTTGCTCTTTTATTGTCAATGGGCAAAATAAATAAGTAGACCTGATATGGTTGATGAAAGTACGTAAGTAAACTTTATATAATATAAATATATACATATAAATATATATATATACTGTATAGTTAACATTTGTGCTTGGAAAGAATTTTTTTCAGTCCACAAAACTAGCAATATAGACCTTACAAGGAATTCCACTTACTTGATAGGACAGTATAATAGACGAATAGCATATGAAAGAGTAGACCAAAAACAGTAAATGTTAGAAAGAAATCTCAGACACGTCAGTATTTTCACTTCAAGTCCTCAGGACTTGCTAAGGTTTCTAAGCAATCATTACTAAATGTGCCAAGTAACATAGCATTTAAATGTTGTAGTCCAATACTGCTTTGTATAAATCCTTATTTTATTAACACGATAATATCATACGTAATCAGTATTATAACTGCTCTGCTATTTCAGGTAAGCAAACTCGTTACGATGCAGTAATTCTACCGTAGCAATGTAGGGTGACCCTTGCCCACTGGTCATCTTGAAGCATTGGTCACACAAGTTCTTAGACACTTTAAAGGCTGTGATAACTGTGAATTTACATGATCCACATTTCTTTTGTACACGTATGATTTCAGGAACACACATGAAGAGTGACGACAGGTGCATGTACACACTGCAAAAACATTCATCTCAAACATGACAATGGCAAACTTCCATCTTCCTCAGCTACTTTGTTTCCTCTTCACCATAATTTCTCATTTTTACCCCCAAAGAAGCTGAATTCTAGTCCGAGCATTTCCAGGGGGAAGTGCTCTAAAACTTGAAGGTTCGTTTTAGACTTTAGTATAGGGTTTTTATATATATATATAAAAAATATGTAATTCCATGTAGCCATGTGCTAGCAACAAAGTGGCTTCACCATTTTTACTCATCACATTTGTAAGTTTGAAAGTACCCAGCACTCAGCAGGCTGAGATTATGCTCAAACCCTCACGTTCATAGTCCAGTTAGTGGCAAGACATCACATAAAAATAGGCTGTGCTGTTGTTGCTTATGTGTTGTAATCAAACCATTTGCAAATTGATGTACAGTTTTTATCCCGAAATCCTGTACAAAGTTATACATGGCGCCTACTTTGTAGTTTCAGCATTTTGAGCCACTGCAAGGACTTTACACCTAAACAGTAGAGACAAAGGAATCACAACTGCAAAACTGTACCAGCCTAAAAGCAAACCTTGAAGAGGATGAGCAAAAAGTTCCAGTATGAGATGGGTAAAAGTAATTATAATAACAACCAGTCGAGTTTCTATTTAATGGTAATAAAATGGTCAGAAATGATGAAGACATGAAAACAAGAGAGTGACTTTCCATATTGGCTTGCTCATGGCATCTCTAATATCGGGGGGGAGGGCGGAGAGGATGAGTAATTTTTTTTCCCTTTCATGCCATCAATGTCACAATACCAGCAAACTGCAAACTGAGCACTTTGTTAACCTCCACAGAGGGCAAATACAGCAATCTAGAGTTTAGCCTTTTGTTTCAAGCTGTCCACGTTTGTTCCACACATGTGCAATACGTTTTCCCCTTTCTGCTCCTTCTCCTCTGACTTACCTTCATGAAAATACAAGAGTAATTGCATTATGATTTTTAAGTATCACTCATTCTGTTCCGAATTCTGCGGCTCACCTTAAGAGGGCTCCCCTGGGTCCCTGAGGCTCTGTTCTTTGCAGTTTAAAAAATATATACTGTTCTTATAAGGGAAAGTAGAACTGTCTGCATGTCATCTAATGTTATTAGTGTGAGGCTACACTCTACATATTGTATATTTGCAAAATATATCTGTTACTGTTGATATTAGTTGAAGTAAAGTGATAACATATTTCAATATGTAGACTTTTCTTCATACATCTGTACCAATAGTAGAGTCTAACTGTAATTTATAGGTTGTTCCAGAAAAGATAAAGAACCATTCAGGTACAAACATCTTTCAGAAACTGCATCTTTTAATTACAACAGAGGTAAGAATGCTCCTCTTCACTGAGTGACGGAGTCTGTCCTTGGTTCAGATGCAGAGTTGTAAGTAAAAGGCCTGTGTATGGAATAGGTGCAAAACATGCGGTAGCAGTGGAGAGGAAAATCCAACTCTGGTGTGGTAATTAACAGTGATGGTGTTCAGTCTCCCAGGTCTGCATTTGCTTTATGTTTAAAAACCCCTTTAATTCATTTAAATTAGAGCTACATATAAGTAATTTAAATTTTCACAGGAAGCCACATTGCTTGACCACTGATTTTCCATGTGCAATCGATTAAACATTCAGGAGATGTCAAAAATGCGCATGCAGATACTACTTACATGTGATCTCGTGTCAACGTGGGGAAAGAGATTGTGCATTAAGTCACATGTGTGAAATCACAGATCATTTGGGGCTAGTTTGTAGAACAAAACTGGTCACAGAAGAGCACAGTGTAAACTCCAGTATTTCAAGTCAATGAGGAGAAACAGTGCACCAGATTTTTTCTTTTGTTTTTTTAGACTCTGTTTGTGTGTACTTTAAACAAACAAATGTGTCTGGGTGACAGCACAAGTCTTCAGAACTTTGCTGCTTCTTACGGCTGTAGTATAACCTCTCTGGCTCCATCCTTCATTAACAATTGCTTAGAGCAGTGGGGACCATGCCTAGAACAGGGAAATGTTAGTACTGAAATAGGGTTAAGAAAATGAATTGGTTTTGGCCTGCAGGCAGGAGTAGAACTGAGAGGGGATTTCCTAAGATGCCATTGCCAAGCAAAAACTGGTACAGAACTGCACAGTGACCACGGGTTCTTTTTCCCATCAGTGATGCGGCAAAGTAGTCATGCTGATTTGAACAAATGAAAGGAAAACATGAATGAAGGTGTGGCAACAAAAATCTTTTCTGGGACAACAATCAAATATATATTTGGGGTTTTTATTTTTTTAAGTTAAGAATGAAATGTAAAACAATGTAAAAAAAAAAAAACAAAACAAAAAGCAAAGTTCATCCTAATATAATGTGCGTCTTGTATTGCTAAAAAAAGCCAAGTCTAACATGCGGTGTAGAATGATTTTCCCATCATGTACTGCATGCAGCAGAAGCCTCTTGTTTCTTGATAAAATGAGCTGAAAGACAGTCAGCAGATATTTAAACAATGAATCTCTAGATGTTGACTTGCTGTTCCATATGAAGCTGTGTGTTTTCTGCAGTTAAGCATGCATTTTGCTGTTCCGTTGTAAAATACCATCGCACTTCTTGCCTGCAAAATGGATTATTGTGTATATATTTAAAAGAAAAGTGGAACCAATAACAAGATCAAATTTGGGAGAGAGAAAAGGGGGCGGTGAAAACGGGACCAGTGGGGGGAATAGAGAATTCTCTAAATTGTACATAGTGTGTAAATTAGCATTACTCTACGTCTGCAGTCACTTTGAGGTTGCCTATTTCCTGCTAGGAACTTAAATCAGCTTTGAGTTGTATTAAACTGTTAGAATTAGGTCTTGAATGCAGACTCTTAGAGACTTCAAAAACCATTATGCTTACAAGAAGCTTCTGTTCTGGGGAGGCTTGAGACCCCTTTTGTAACTCTGGGGAAGAAAGGAGTGCTTTCATTTTAATATGCATTCTGTTTGTAAGTAGTAACAGACCCTATTGATGTAAAACTATAACTGTGGTCATGTGGAGAAATCAAATAAATCATTTAAAACTCTTTGTTTCTCATTTTGTATAATCCAAGAACTTCAACTCTTCAAGACCCGAAATGAAGGAAATTCCTTCCAATTGTGTGTCCTGGCCCCACTGAGTCAATGGGATTGCTGCTGCTCCCTGCAGAGGGGTCACGCTTTCAGTCTGCATCCTAAAGTAAAGATAAGTTGGTGGGAATAGTGGTCAGTACTGTGGAGACTGTGATCCCCTCTCAACAAGCTTTGGTTGGTTTGGTGGTGCTGTAGATATATTTAGTTCCAAAGTACAATAAAGAGTAATAAATACATCACTTAGATCTGCAGACAGCGAGAGGTACCACTAAAGGGACTTGTTGGTGCCCTACTTAGCAAAGCATTCAAGTGTTGCAAACCAGTAACCACATTTTGAATCTTCTTTACCATGAGCTGTCCATCATGCTCCACTGATCCCATTCATCCTCTGGCTGTCCACTGCCCCAGGAGCTCCTGTTCAGGTGACTGAACTGCCTGCACTGGACTCGGGTGTTCTCAGCTTGTCCTTCCCATGGGCACAGTCCTTTGCCCAAGTGTGACCCATACTCTTTGGATTGAGCTGTGAGTATTCACTGCTTCTGCACATCCATTGGTACCTGCATTTAGTTGTGTGTCTTAATTTATACCACAGAAGGAGCGCTATGCAGGCGTATTTGCCACACGCGGCCTTCACAATGTTTGATGTTAGGCTGCTGCAATCACTTTGGATAATAACCTGTGGCATACTCGATTGCATTCTTTTTGTGCATTTCCCAAATTTCAGGGGGATTATAGTGTGTCTGCAAAGACTGTTGAAACTAATGCTTAGCTATGAATTTAAACTAAACACAGTGTGTGCCTGTTTGTTCTATGAATTTTAGGAGGTTCTGGAATTATTTTGTGAGAAGTCAGCCATGACCTATTTCCAAATAGCTGTCATTTCAGGATGCGCATCTCCATCAAAGATTTTTTGGTAGGTAAGTACCCATTTATCACTTCCAGTATGACATCCCTCTGAGCTTTGCAGCCCACTCGATGACCAATGCCTCCCAGGAGCATTGTTAGTGAAAATAACAGGATTTGCAGTGATGTTCTTTACTGGTTACTTCTATTCCTGGCTTAGAAGCTATGATTTTTGGATGCCAGAGAGGGACTTTTCATCAGAGACTAGTGATAGGACAGGGGGTGATGGGTGTAAACAGAGGAAGTTCAGGCTAGGTACAAGAAAGAAGTTCTTTACCGTGAGGATGATGAGATGCTGGAACAGGCTGCCCAAAGAAGTGGTGAATGCCCACCCCTGGCAATGTTCAGGGCCAGGTTGGGCAGAGCCCTGGGGACATGATCTAGTGTGAGGCATCCTTGCCCGTTGCAGGGGGCTGGAAGTGGGTGATCTTAAGGTCCTTTCCAACCCAAACCAGCCTGTGATTCTGTGACTTTAAGAATTCGGATACATTTACATTTTGAGAAGGCAAAGAGTCTGTCTCCTCTAATTTAAATCTCAGAGCCTGTAAATGTTACAAATCTGTTCGGTTTTGTGTTTTGGTGGGTTTTTCCCTGATCCATTCAAAAAGTAGGACCTAAATAATATGTCTAAATGCTGCTGCTTTCTACCTAAACTCAGACTAGGTTGGAAGTATTCATGGCACAACTGCAGAGAAATAGGCAAAGAAAGCTCAGCAGCAGTTGTGGCTTGTGTGATAGATTTGCACCGGTTGCAGGAATGCCAAGTAACTTAACTGAAAAATTCAGGGTGTGTTGAACAGGATGGTCTGACAGCTCACAATTGGGGGGGGGGGGAGGGGGGAGAGGGGATGTTCAATCTTAATATCCCTATTTGTTTGAGATGCTCATCTTAGTGGAGTTGCATTCCCTAAGTCTCTGCTAAAGCCTGTGTACATATGTAGTGAAAAATCATAGAATCATAGAATAGTTAGGGTTCGAAAGGACCTTAAGACCATCCAGTTCCAACCCCCCAGCATCCCTATAGGCCCCCTTCAGATACTGGAAGGCTGCTCTGAGGTCTCCACGCAGCCTTCTCTTCTCCAGGCTGAACAGCCCCAACTTTCTCAGCCTGTCTTCATACAGGGGGTGCTCCAGTCCCCTGATCATCCTCGTGGCCTCCTCTGGACTTGTTCCAACAGTTCCATGTCCTTTTTATGTTGAGGACACCAGAACTGCACACAATACTCCAGGTGAGGTCTCAAGAGAGCAGAATAAAGGGGCAGGATCACCTCCTTCGACCTGCTGGTCACGCTCCTTTTGATGCAGCCCAGGACAGGGTTGCTCTCTGGGCTGCAACCACACACTGAAGCTGGCTCATGTTCATTTTCTCATCGACCAACACCCCCAAGTCCTTCTCTGCAGGGCTGCTCTGAATCTCTTCTCTGCCCAGCCTGTAGCTGTGCCTGGGATTGCTCCGACCCAGGTGTAGGACCTTGCACTTGTCATGGTTAAACTTAATGAGGTTGGCATCAGCCCACCTCACAAGCGTGTCAAGGTCCCTCTGGATGGCATTCCTTCCCTCCAGCGGATCAACCGAACCACACAGCTTGGTGTCATCGGCAAACTTGCTGAGGGCGCACTCAATCCCACTGTCCATGTCAGCGACAAAGATGTTGAACAAGACCGGTCCCAACACCGATCCCTGAGGGACACCACTCGTTACTGGTCTCCAGCTGGACACTGAGCCATTGACCACAACTCTTTGTGTGCGGCCATCCAGCCAGTTCTTTATCCACCGAGTGGTCCATTCATCAAATTGATGTCTCTCCAATTTAGAGACAAGGATGTCGTGTGGGACAGTGTTGAACACTTTACACAGGTCCAGGTAGATGACATCAGCTGCTCTACCCCTGTCCATCAGTTCCGTAGCCCCACCATAGAAGGCCACCAAATTGGTCAGGCAGGATTTCCCCTTAGTGAAGCCATGCTGGCTGTCACCAAGCACCTTGTTGTTTTTCATGTGCCTTAGCATGCCTTCCAGGAGAACCTGCTCCAAGATTTTGCCAGGCACAGAGGTGAGACTGACGGTTTAACAAGTTACATTGCCTTCTCACTTAGGACAGGCAATCCTACCCTCACATGAAGAAAAAGGTCAAGGTTTGCTGCCATAAATTATAACTGAAAATCACAGATTTGCAAGTCAGAAGCTGAATGTCTTAAAACTTTTCCTAAACCCTATCCCACGTTTGTGCATTTCAGGTGTTTGCCTGCACGATGGATCAGTACACACAGGAATCACACGGATCAGTTGTCGTGCAGTGCAAGCTCATCTAGAGAACATCTTTTTCAGAGGGGGTTGCTTTCCAGGTATTTCTGTATTCTTCTGGTTGAAATAAAGAAGTGCAATATTGAAATGACAGGAAACCAAACTCAAGACCTTCCTATGTTTTACTTCTGAACTGTGTTTCACCTGCATCTCTTTTCAGGTTCTGGTTGACAAAACAACCTCATGAATTCTATTTAAACTTTTTAGGACTGTGGGTTATTTCAGCACGTGTATGTTCTGGCAGACGTATTTACATAAGATGAGCAGTGTACTTACAGTAACATGCCATGATACATCTTTATTAACATTTTATTTATTAAATAAGTCTTATAGCTGCATTGCACCTTTGTCAAGAGGAAACACAGGATTTGTAACCTACTTACTGAGTGATTTTTGCTGCTATATTTTGGTGATAGAAAATTCCTGGAGGAGAACATAACACAGCTAACTTGATAGAACTAATTAAAATAGACAAGTGACGGGGAAAATGCTTCATTTTAGATGTATTTTTAGTAACTTTCTTTTTGTTTCATATTATTTCAAGAATTAAGGCCAAATCCTGTGTTACTTGACAAAACTAAATCAACTGCAGGATAAGGCTGATGATGAATGCTGGGAAATGCTTAAATTAAGATCTCTGCTTGAAGTACTTCCTAAGCTAAATGAGACTTAATGAAAGTTGTGTGGGTGATGCTGACTTGAAACTATCCCTTTGGAACTGGTTAGATTTTCATTTTTTTTACCACACATATAAATGCATATTTTTAGGGATAAAATGTTATGAAAAAATCCCCTTCATTTAGCATTTTTGCAGCAACTGAGATGTGAAATTAGCCTCATGGTTCACAAGCCACAGCCAGCTCAAACAAATCACACAAGCACACAATTTATCAGCTCCGCTGGAAAATGACATGTGCAACTTCAGCTTTCATTTACTCCTTCAGATTTAGATATAGTGATTTAAACAGGTAAATATAATGAGCAAGGAAAAAATAATCTGTCTTTAATAAGATGAATGGGGTGAATTCATTCTGACACAAACGAAATGTTCTGCATGCAGTGAAAAACGCTTCCTCTCTACAGTTTCTCATTTCTGCTGCACAATAATACATTAGCAAATGTTTGACAAAGCAATGGGCTTTATTTGTGTGTCTAGGGAAATGGAAAAAGGAAGGTCTGTGCAGGTGTGCTGGGTCAGGAGGCTGTTATTCAGCAGTGGTATCACAGTGAACCAAAGCTGGAAATCAATTCATTCAGTCATTACAGATTTAAGGTTTTTGATGAGGAAACGATCTGACTTTCAGACATGGGTTTCATCACATTTGGACCCAGCCTGACTAAGTGAGCCCTTCCCCTGTACATGATCCTTGGACAGGAGCATATCCGCCCCGTGGCTGTGCAGCATAGCAGCTCTCTGCCTCCAGAGGTGCATTTCCCTCCTCCATAAGCTCACCATATGCTCATGACTGATAGTTATTTTCCTTTTACTGACTAATAGTCCTTTATATCCATCTCCAGCAACCATAACCACAATGGCCATAGTGCAAGGCCAGGCTGGATGGAGCTTGGAGCAAGCTGCTCTAGTGGAAGGTGTCCCTGCCCATGGCAGGGGGTTGGAACTGGATGAGCTTTAAGGTCCCTTCAACCTAAACCAGTCTGGGATTCTATGATCCTATGATAGTTGGAGAAACTTCTGTCATGCTTCAAAAGTTGAGTTCAGAAGAGCAGTGACAAGAAGCAACATTT